TTGTCTGGTAAAATAGATAGGTCTATTACTGGACGCAATTTTCCTTTATGCTTTTTAGACCTACCTATTCACTCACGTTTTATTAAGTTTTTTCTATTTTTGAATTGATTAAACCAAACTACATTATTTAGATTGTAGAAAAACAAAAAGGTCCTATTTCTTCACAAATTTATTTTTTATTGAATAAATATCAAAATCTCTCTCGACGCGTTTTGGCTAATGCCATTTTCAAGAGGAATTCAATTGAAGCATTAAACCTACGAACTAAACGGCCATTAGGGGTTTTTGTTCAACCTTTTTTGCAATATTCTTGTTGACCGATCGAAAATTGGTCTAGCATTCTAACCTCACTTTCCGAAAGACATATCTATAATGTTGAGACAGCTGTTTTGTTTTAAAAAGAATTTTAATATTGTGGTATGTTTTCTCCTGTTTTTTTCAATGTTTAATTTGTATTTTAATTGTTCTCCTATAGTTATATAAAAGAAAAAGTTCCTACTGTGATAGTGACCAATATGTATCAAATTGTAAGTTTGAATTATTTTCGAGATTATTTTATTGTTCAAGTCAGACTGCATGTTTTTAATTCGTACGTTTAATCGAATTCCTCGAGGAATTCCTCTTGAAACTGGCATTAGCCAAAACGCGTCGAGAGACAAAGATGTTAATATTATTGAATAAAGGACTATTCACACACATCAGTTCCGTATCAGTGCAGTTTCAGTTCAATATCAGTGGCAGTGAAAAATAAAATATCGTTGCCTAGTCTCAAATGAACCTGTTTAGACAGGTCCGGCGCAGTGACGTTTTTCACCATCAGTGCTGCGTCAGTGTCAGTTCCGTGTTTTTTATAAAGTCGGCAACGATATTTTGTGTATTTTACTGACGGAAATTTGCGTTTGATCCCTGAATTCTGACATTTCACTGAAAGCATGGTACGGACTACAGATGGATGTGTGTGAATTGTCACCACTGATGAAGCACTGATAGCACTGATACTGAACTGACGCAGCACTGATACGGAGCTGATGTGTATGAATAGTCCTTAATAGTTATTTATACAGTGAGTTAAATAAATGAATGTTTATTCATGAGAAGAAAGTTTAACCAACGAGCACGAGGTGATAAACGTCTACTTACCTTTATTGTTACGCGTTCAATAATGTCATTTTTGAACGACAAAATGGGATTAAAAAAAAAATTGTGAAAAAAAGGGCCTTTTTCTTTTTTTACAATCATGAACCATCGCCAATCTGGTAACCTCTTACAACTACATCATTTAGGTCCCAAAGAATGTTTAAAAAAAAATTGGTGATGTAGCACAATTTTTTTTAGAAGTTACTATTTCTTACCCATTTGCGAGGATGAATCTACCCACTGCATTCCAGTAGCACACGTGTTATTTCATTTCACTATTATTATTCATATTCAGGACTCGGAGAATATTTAAAAAAAAAGTCTGGTGGTGAAACAATTTTTTTCTTCAAAGTTAGTATTTCTTCCCCATTTTCGGGGATTAGTCTACCCCCTTCATCCTGGTAGTACACTTGCTATTCCACTATTTTATCATTAGTTAGGTATTGAAGAATATTTTAAAGAAAGTTTGGTGGTGTCACAAAATTTTTCTTAGAAGTTAGTATTTCTTCCCCATTTTCAGGCTTGAATCTACCCCCTTTTTCCCAGTAGCACACTTTTTATTTACCTATAGAGGGTGTTTCTGAATACTGGGATCATAAATTTAAAAAAAAGAGTTAATAGAAACATAGGTCCACAAATGCTAGTTTTCGAAATACAGATACAACTGCAAGTCAAAGTTTTTTTGCTCAAAAATTCTATTGCAGATTTTCTTTACACTTGGCATGTTTGTTTGTAATAACAAAAGAAAGCTTTTGACTCAATTAGATTTACTTACCGTGAATCTCGCTGTGAAAATTCCAGTGGCGCTCCAGAGGGCAACTCCGTCGGTAAAAGTAGAAAAAAATGGCATGTTATTATTTTTCATAGCTTTGATTTATAATCAAGTCGTCATATTACAGTCAAAAGATTCCTTTTGTTATGACAAACAAACCTGCCAAATTTGAAAAAAAAAGGAAAAGGAAATTTTTGAGCTAAAAAAACGATTTTTATTTCAAACTTCGACACCCTGTGTCTTGAAATCTAAGCATTTACGTACCGATGTGACTTTTTTTAAATTTTATTGAGGACCATTTATCCTAGAAGTTTGATCCCACTATTCAGAAATACCCTGTATTATCATTATTCAGCTAGGCATCAACGTAGATTTTAAAAACAGTGGTGGTGCAACAAAATTTTCACTTTTTTTAATAATACTAATTATAAATTATAAACGTTAATCAACTAGTAACTACTCATTTTATTATTGTTTTTAGAAAAAATAGGCTCAAAAATTAAATTAAAAGAAAACCGTTTTGGACTAGGTTGTGTGCTCCCTTCAGAATACTGGCAGATGATGCTTTAAAATAGAGTTTTTTTGCTGATTCATGGGATCTCGGAAGAGATACAAAGATGTAACAAGTTTCTGGAAATAAGTCAGATAAGATAAGTGCGCATTTTATGGTGAGTGCATGAAAAAATTACAAATCATCAATAAGAAGTATTACCTAGATATTTTAAATTTATTAAAGGGTCAATCTAAGAAAAATATCATCACGCAAACGTAAATCCATTTTGGATATATCCACGAGACATTTTCGGCGCCTAATCAATACTGAAAATTTAGCAGGACCATCAGACCACTTAAGCTGCCAAGAGAATAAGAAGCAATGTTCTAGGCCGGATTCTCAGCAGACTTCAGATGCGCCCGAATTTTACAAATATATAGAAAAAACAAAAGAGGGACATTCAATTAAGGATAATGAAAACCAGCAAGAACATCATGAAAATCAAAATATTGTACTACATGATAAGTCTGACACTGGAATTCCTAGTGATAATGGCTCTGATAATGGAATGACAGATAATGAAGAAGATGAAATCCAAGAAGAAATTGAAACCAACCTAAAGTCTTTGGATAAAGATTTAAGTTGTTGGGCCACAAGGCATAAAATTAAATGGGGTGCAATTTCGGACTTATTGAAAGTATTGCGTAAATATAAGATTACAGCTGATCTTCCAAAAGATTATAGGACTCTATTAAAGACACCTCGGAATACCAAATTACACGATGTGCCTCCTGGACATTACTACCATTTTGACATTAAATCAGAAATATTACAAGTTTTAAAACTTGAGTATACTCAATTTAAGTTCAAATAAATTCTAATTAAAATTGGTATACATGGTCTGCCCATATCTGACTCTAATTCAAGTCAACTTTGGCCTTTACTTGGATGTCTATATCCATCATCCAGAATTTTCATGATCGGATTGTACCATGGTTATTCCAAACCAGCAGATTCCAATCAGTTTTTACAACATTTTATAGAAGATGTTAGTCAATTGATAAATGAAGGTTTGGTTTATGAAGGCATACATTTAAAAGTGTCAATTCATTGTCTTACAGCAGATGCACCTGCAAAATCCTTTGTATTAAAAGTTAAAGGACACACAGGATATTTTAGTTGTTCAAAATGTGAGCAGGAGGGCAATTATATAGAAGGTCGGATGAGTTTCCCATTAACTTCTTGTCGTAAACGAACTAAAGAGTCTTTTATAACCCAAGTAAATTCGGAGTACCATTTAGGTACCACACTTCTCCTTAAAATTCCTGGCTTTGATATAGTGAGTGACATACCTCTAGATTATATGCATTTAGTGTGCATAGGAGTCGTCAAAAAAATGATCTCATTATGGATAAAAGACCCATTGCCAGTACGTTTGCCTGCTGCAAAAGTTAACATATTGTCAAAGAATCTAATTGCTTTAAAACCTATTATTGCAAAAGAATTTGCTAGAAAACCACAGGACATTTTGAGTTATGGCAATTGGAAAGCTACTGAACTGAGGCAATTTCTCCTATATACTAGCCTCATAGTATTGTATGGTGTTTTGCCATCCAAACTTAATGATCATTTTATGACACTGCATATAGCCATTAGAATTTTTTGTATTGAGTCCTCTACTGAATTGAGCCAACTTCAATATGCCCTTGAGGTTATCAAGCATTTCATACAATCATTTATTATTATGTATGGCACACATTTTCTTTCCCATAATATGCATGGCCTTATTCATTTTAAGGAGGACGTTATGCGTTTTGGTCATCTTGATTCATTTAGTGCATTCCCTTTCGGAAATTTTATGAATATTATAAAATCATTTATAAATAAACCAGAACAACCGCTACAGCAAATCCATCGAAGATATGTTGAAATGCAAATGTCCAATACTTCTGTGAATCCAGAGGAAGGTCCAAATAATATTTCTAGTAATGCATATCACACAAAGGGCCCATTAATTGCTAATCTTATTTTTACCCAGCAATTAAAATACTAGATGGTTTTTTTCTCTAAAAATACCAGATAATTGTTGTGTTGTCGATGAATCAGTTGCCGAAATACATAACATTGAATACTCCAAAAATCATAAATCATACGTTATAATAGGGAAGAAATATAATACAATTGAAGACTTGTATAAAAAACCATGTTTATCGTCATTTATTTCTTGTTTTTATGTCGAAAATTTATCTGATGCATTGTTAGTTTGGCCTATATCTAAAATAACTGCAAAATGTGTATGCATTCCTCATAGAAATGGATTTACAGTCTTTCCACTACTACACGTATAGAACCTGTTCTTTCTTAATTGTATCAATTAAATTTTATTGTTTCTATTTATTTTGTTATTCCAAATTTTGGAGGAATCAATCTGGTTGATAGAATAATGGGAAAAACTTGGTGTGTTGTCGAATTTGCTGATGGGATACAAATTGTTCCCCAAATTTGGATAGAAGGAGATAAATGTTGTTGGCCCACAACAATAACTTCCCAAAAATTGTTCGAAAAAGCAGTCAAGGATTATTGTAAGCCAGAGAAATCATGGATTCGTCATTCGGTGAGGATTTTGGGGGTGTATGGTAAAAAAATGTTTTGAAACAAAATTTTACTTATGAAATAAACCTAATATTTTTTTAGATTCTTACGAATCAGCTTTACCCAAGCTAAAGTTGGCTGAAGTTCAGTCAGATTTAAACACCGATGATGAGAGCAGCAAGAAAAGCCGTGGAATAAGGAAAAGAGTCACAGAATCATCTAGTGAAGATGACAATTCTGGTGAAGATGTGGAAGACGTACCCACATTTCCAGCTGTGCCAAAGCCGAAACCATGCATCCAAAGACCTATATTACCGCAGACATCAGCTTCTTCAGATTATATGGAAGTGAATGCCACAGCCTCTGCCACAGCAATTGATGAGCCAGCCACAGACTGCCGTACGTGCAGCTGCAAGTTTAATGAAGGTATGCATATTTTTTTATCTATTATTTGAGAACAAGCTTAACAAAGAACTCAATGAATTAAAGAATCAATTGAAACTAGTCCTGCAAATATTGAGGGAACAACATACACCAAATAAAAACCAAAATGGAAACAAGGAAACCTTTGATGATTTTACTGAGAAGTTGCCAATTAAGTCTGAGGAAGAAATCTTTGCATGGGAAAAACAATTAAGCTCAAAAGATGAGCAAAAAAAGATGGTATGTATAACTTGAGTGTGAATGGGCATCAGTAATAAAATAATTGCATGTAGTACATTTCTTTATCTAGGCTAAGAAATCTTACATCTTTGTGGTCATTTGTTGATATTTGTTTTCAGATATCATTTCTTGCCTACATTGGAGGACATGAGGTAAATACTATTGTCAAAAATATTTTGAGGAAGCTTCTTACAGATGCTGTTGCATCCCTCTTCAACTGGGAAAGGAAGAAGGGAAAAAAAATGTTTTCCTCCCTAATAATATCTGATTGCATGAAAAGTAAGTCGAATCTCATTTGCAATTTCAATTAGGTCTTATAATTTTAATGGTAATTTGGATTGCAGAGGCAGCAGACCAAAGCCCCAATTTAAAGGCACGGAGCAGGACATTATTACAGCTATTAAGAACTGGATGCGACATGCCTCAGCAAGACTGAAAAACAGCAACCAGTAAGTGTATTTTACATTCTCTCAGTTTCCCTGATCAACTTATTTTTAGTAGTACACTTTGTATTCCAATTTGTAGATGCATGTATTTTTCTATGTTTGCAATGCGTTACACGTCCTTATCCTTTTCTGACACCATCAGTATCACTTGACAAAACAAGAACAAAGTACCTAGTTACATTTTTTTCTTTTTAATGATAGTATATCACATACCGAGTAGAGAAGTGCTCCATTACTGTCGAGAGATCTATTTGTTTATCTCGAGACAAATGAAAACTTTGCTCTGAGTTTGCAGGTATATCATTTTTTTTGCAACTACAACAGCAGTTAAAAATTAGTTATTTTATTTTTCAATAATAGAAAAATAAAATAAGCATTGGATATGTTCCTATTGAAATTATTAGTGAGGTAAATCGAAGACAGAAGAGAAGTGGTGAAATGTGATACTTTCAAATTTTTAAAAACTCAGGAATGTCACATCACATATCCCTATTCGTCTTTCCTTACCGATTTTCCTCACTCTAATTTATTTACCTTTGCTGGCAACAATGAAAACATGTCAGGTAAAAATGTCAAAACAGTGAATGACACATTTTGGCATGTTTGTTTTATTTTTTTATTATTAAAAAATGATATAACTATTGGTGTGCTTGCAAATAAAATAGTATACAAACCTCGGAGGAAAGTTTTCATTTATGTCTCGAGATTATAGATTATAGACTATATGAATCTCTCAACAGTAACGATACACTTCCCTACTCGGTATGCAATATACTATTATTTATTTTTTAACGCAACTCAAAATCGCTCAGAAAAGTATTTGAAGTTTTTCGAAACATGTATTACATTCGTCAATAGATATTTGATAATTTTAATAAAACTAATTTTTTTTTCCATTTTTACAGGAAGGAGACCCGAGAGGTTGTTGTAGATGAGTAGTGCCAATGAGTAGTACCCAATTTTTGTCTTTTGTATTTTCTGTCAAAAATATATACATATTATGACCTGCTAAATGCATAATTTGTTTAATTTATCCAATAATCATGTTCAATGTGAATGGCTCATCCATAAAACTTCTCATTTCTTCACTGACCCCTTTGCTCTACCATCACAAAAATGGCTGCAATGGTGAGATCTTTGAACAGTGTCGGTCTGTTGTTTCTCATAGGACTAGGAATCCAATTTATTTGAATTGGTCAACAGGGCTCAACAACAAAGATTTTATGAAACCGACTATTTGGTCTCCGTCATCTACGAGAACTAGCAGTTCTTGAATACATATTATAAATACGTATGGGGACTTTAACTGGAAATAATTCGCTAGAGCCTTCAGGTAAAATATGTTGACAAAACGCAAAAACATTTTCGCTTAAGATTTTTTCACATTAATTTTGTTATACAGGGTGTTCCAAGAAAAACTCTACCGTTATCAACTTTATTTTTTTAAATGGTAGGCCCTGTATATTATGACATTTCTGGATTCAGCGGAAAATTCTAAACATATTTCATGTACAATGTTCTATATTTATCTTCAACTGTTTTGGAAATATTGATAGTTGCAAAGTGACTTTTTTATCTTTGACAGACTGTGAACCCTATATGTTTGATTCTACAGCAAAACCAATCATACATTCTTGTCTTAATTTTTCATAAACTCATGTGGCACCAATTTTAAATTTAATCCATTATAAAAAAATCTGGTTAAATTTAATCTCTGGTTAAATTCAAAGTTGGTGTCAAATGACAGCTTATGAAAATCTACAGACGAGAATGTGAAATGGGTTTTGCTGTAAAATTAACCATTTAGATTTAATAGCCTGTTAAAGTTGCAAAAAAAGTCAATTTTCAACTGTCAATATTTCCAAAACAGGTAAATGATATTGTAAATGAGATATGTCCACAATTCTCCGAAGAATCCAGAAATTTCATAATATACAGGGGCTACCTGTCAAAAAAAAATAAGTTGATAACCGTATAGCTGTTCTTGGAACACCCTGTATAAAAAAAAATATTGTGAAAACAAAATCTTAAGCAAAAAATCTTAATCGACATGTTTTTGCGTTTTGTCCACATTTTATCTGAAGGCTCTAGCAAATTAGTTCCAGTTAAAAGTACACACCCTGTATATATCCATGGGATATATATACATATATAAAGTGGATGGATATAGCCCAACATTTGGATATCCAGAAAATCTCTATAGGGCATCCAAAGATATCCTATTAATCTCTAATGTACATCTAATTGATATCCAGTATATGTCTCTATATGTATCCATGAGATATTTTCTATATCCTGGATATAGGCGGACATTTGGATATCCATAAAATGTCTATGGGACATCCATACATATCCAGTGGATGTATTGGATATCTATGAAGTATATCCTATGGATATCAAATAGATATCCTGTGCTGTCTGGGTTTGGAGCCCATAATAATGGTAGCATTTTTAAACCCCCCAGAAGGAAGCTCTGAATACAGATTCAATCAGAGATTATGTTCTGCAAGAAATACCGTTGAGAGGTGCATTGGAGTTTGGAAGATGAGGTTCCGTTGTTTGGCAGTAGAACGAAGAGCTAGATATAACCCTTCTTTCTTGGGAAAAATTTTCACAGCTTGTGCAGTTCTTCATAACATGTGCTTACAGTATAACATGGAACTTTAAGATCTTGAACCCGAGGAACAAGAAAATATACCAAATTTACCAGACAATAATTTAAATATCATCCCTAATGATTCTCGTATAATCAGACAAAATATAGCAAACAATTATTTTAATCACTAATTTACATGAAATATTCTGTCATTTCATAATAAATAGAAGTCTTTGCTGTTGGATTTAATCCTAATTATTCAGGAAATAATGTAGCCGTATACCACTGTACACAATGTATTAAACTATCCAAATATCTCTTGCATGATTTTGCTATTTTCCAAGCAAAATCATGCTCAAAATATGTTGAATAATTTTATTCATTAAATTTAAAGCCCTTGTGATATAATATATGATTATTTTTTTAGTGTAAGAAATTTATATTTATGACATAAATTGCGATTGTCACCAATTTTTGATGTTGATTATCTGTTTTCTCAAATAAAAATTAGATATTTATATATAGATTATATATAGATTTTTGCATAAATCAACAAAAACAATAAGTAAAATTCTACACAAATATGGTTATCGCCCGTATAGGATATTGCCAGTTCAGAAGTTGAGAGAAAATCAAAAAGCGCGGAGGGTAGCTTTTTGTCGTGAAATGCTGCGACGAAAAGCCCCAGATAATGATTTCTTTAAAAAAAAATTATGGAGTGACAAAGCTACCTTCACAATAGCTGAAATATACAAGGTGTTAATAAATAATGGGATCAAACTTTTAGGATAAATGGAACTTATTAAAATTAAAAAAAAAATTGATCGAAACATGGGTCTGCTTAGTTTTCGAGATACAGGGTGTCAAACTTCGAAAAAAAATTGTTTTTTTTTTTTGCTCAAAAATCCCTCCCCGGCTGTGAAAATGTAAAAAGCTAAGCCGGTGTTACCCAACTCCTTTAATTCTAAATTTCTAATTCTTATTTCTTATTGCTTAATTCATAACAGGTTAACAGCGTGTTATTAAATGATGGCGTTATCGGTTTATCCAATTTCTATACCACAATATTTTTTTGGTGCCAAAATACCTAGAAAAAAACGGCTTCATTTTCCAACTCCATGTTACTACTCCTACTCCTTTACCTTTACCGGCTCTAGGGGCTTCATTCATAGTCTTGTTGTGATTTTGTGTTGGTTGAAAACAGAACAATATTGAAAAATAAAACCTATATTCTAAAAAAATAAAAAACCCATGAATACTGAAGATCAATCTAGTCCTATATATTTGGTGGCCGAAAAAAATTAAGTAACTGGGTAACGGGACCAAATCGACAGCTAATATTTTACGAAATAAGAATAGAAATTAGGAATTAACGAGTTTGGTAACACCGGCCTTAAGCTGGATTTATAGTGTCAGTATCAGTAACAGTGACAGTAACAGTAAAATATTAAAACACGGCCGACCGTTAAGCCATTTATAGTTACTCTACAAACTTATCAGTAAACCTTAAAACTTGAGAAATGGTAATTTTGATTTCTTATTTTTACTTTTACTGCTTCGTTAAAGGTCGGATATTTTCGTGCAACTTATATATTAATTCTTTGGATTGGCGCTAGAGGGCAGTGTATGTTCTAACATGATAGTTGACACGAGGTTGACACTGTTGAAAGTTCTAGTTTTGATTTTGGCGTAGCGTGATTAATGTGTATATTTGAATTTTTGGCTTTTGTATTATTGTATTGTTTATTTTCTGGATTTTTTGAGTAATTTCTTTTAATTATTGATATTATCAATATTATTATGGAGTACGAGAACGAGAGTTTGCTAATTGAGCTTATTCAGCATTACCCCTTTTTGTTCGATAAAAAACACAAGGAGTATAAAAACAACATCTTGAAATGCAATGCTTGGACGACAATGGCCGACGCCCTATCGACTTCAGGTATGTAAATAAAAATAAATAAATTTAAAATATTTGTATTTCTGCATTTTCTATTCTGTTAAGATGCATTTGATTATTTATGATTTTTCTTATTTTTGTAGTTGATGAAATGCAAAGAATGTGGCTGAGGCTGAGGGAGAGATTCTCAAAGGAAAGACGGGAACTAAAAGAGCAGGCTTCGGGATCACAAGCTCCCGAATCGACCTGGCCCCTTTTTTACTGCATGCAGTTCATGGAGCCGCACGTGCAATCAAAAAAGTAGGTATACTTTTCTAAATTAAATTAGAATTTAATTTAAAAATAATAATTTCAGGCGTTCCACAAATATAAAAGCCAGGAAGATCGCAACTCCTTTGAGTTCTCCTGCGGATAGTTCAATTCAATCGCCTTGAAGCACTTTTAAGGAAATCATTGCAACTGACGAAGAGGATACGTCATGTTCTTCTGCAGCGCCAGCTAAAGAATGGGAACCACAACCGGGACCTTCTGGATTGAGCTTACATAAAGTGCCAGGAGGTTCTGGTTTACCATTAAAGAATGTGGCAGCAGAACGGTTACAACAACCCGGATCTTTGCGTATCCAGAAAACAGAAAAGCCAGTTTTGGAAGAAACTCCAAAAAAAAGGGGGAGAAACACTTCCAATTTTCCAAATAAAAAAAAAAAACAACAAAAAATAAAAAAGGTATTGTATTTTATTTAGCTATATCATAATAATATAAATTTATTTATATTCCCTATTCTATAATAATGGAAAAAATATAAATTTTTGTCGCTCGAGCCGCAGGCCAGTTAGTCCAGTGAATATAATATGAGTTTTTCAAAAAAATTTAAGAGGGCAAGTTGATTTTTTTATCACAAGATCTATTCGGGACTCAGTTTCGAACGTCTCCAATCAATTTTTTTTTGAAAAACACGTATATTTACTGATTTAAATGTGACAAATCCCTATGACTAAAAACATTAACATAGTGGACCTTGTACGGTCATTGAGGTTCTTAATCTTAACCCTTGAACGGCTAGCGTTACCGTATGGTATCAGTGACGCACATTTTTATTTAAATCAAAATTGCCCATTCCTATGAAAAAATACGTTTATAGGTTATGTCAACCTGTTGTTCGATCGTATTTTGAGCCGATTTATAATTTGCTGCACTTTTAGTTTTTTTGGTTTTGGTGTGACATTGTGTCAAATTTGAAAAAACATAATGGCCGATCAACCGTTGGACTTTTGTTTACAGTAAGTACCATGATTTTTATATTTCAGTTATAATCGGTGCAAAAACAGTGATTTATGCCAGATAACTGTTCCACCTTTATAGTTGATTAGTAATGGTGATGTTATAAATCATGTTTTTGCTCTCTCGCGTGTGTTTTTTCTTACGTTACCAAATGGTAACGCTAGCCGATTATGTAGTCAAAACATTTTTTTTTTCAGACGGGGTTTTACTCTCGAGGAGGCTCTAAATATGGTCTATGAGGACGACTTGGATGTTAGAGAGATTTTCCTGGAACCTCCAGACACCAATGTTCTTACAGATGAGGACTCAGCCGAAGAAGATGAAGGAGGTATGATTGACAATCTCAACAGACAGCAGCTCTCAGCTCATGTTGAAATAAAACTTCACAATGCTGAGACAGAGGCCGAGAGTGAAATAGAGAACGGACCGGAGGTTACTCAAGCCGATGAAACTCAAATCCAAGAAGCTATTGAAGTTGAAGAGCCTGGTGTTGTAACTCACAACACCAGAGCGTCCAGGTAAGACCAAAATAACTTGGGCAGATGGAGACCTTTTTCCGACACCAAGGGAATTTCCAAAATCAGACCGCTTACGATATGTGAATTTGACACCCGTTGAAGTATTTGAAAAGTTTATAGATGACGAAGTTGTTCAATATATTGTCAACGAATCTAACAAATACGCGTTATTCCTAAATCATGCAAATCCGAAAATTAAAATTGCTGAGATTAAATGCTGCCTAGCAATTCTCATCCTGACAGGATATTCAGAACTACCTGGTAGAGATTTTTATTGGGACTCTCAAGATGATATGAGAAATCAAATGGTTAGCAATGCAATGCGAAGGGATAAATTCCGGCAAATACTAAGATACTTACACTGCGCAGACAATACAAAACCTAATCAATCCGATAAGCTTTGGAAACTTAGATCCATCATGGACATGCTAAAACAAAGGTTCATAGAAAACTGGATTCCAGAGCAAGACTTGGATTTCGACGAATCGATGATCAAATACTTTGGGCGGCACTCTTGCAAACAATTTATTCGTGGAAAGCCAATAAGATTCGGTTACAAGATGTGGTGTCTGAATGCTCCATCAGGATATTTGGTCAATTTTGATTTGTACCAGGGGAAAAATCCGAAAGGAAATCATTCTTTCGAAGAAGAATTTGGGAAAAATATTGTACCAATGATAAATATGATACACGAGTTTCCAGAAGCTGTTAGAAAACAGCCCTTTCGTTTTTATTTCGACAATTTGTTCACTAACTTCAACGTGTTATTTTATCTGAAACAACTGGGATATGATGGCACAGGAACAATTCGAGAAAATCGCATTCCTAAATCTTCTCCGTTACTAAATAAAAAAGATGTTTTGAAACAAAAAAAAAGGGGAGAATTCACTTCAAGTCTGAATAAGGATGATGGTATTATTGTTGTCAAGTGGGTCGATAACAACGTCGTCGCTGCAGCTTCGACTTGTTATGGTATAAATCCAATCACCAAAGTAAAACGATTTTCTCGAGCAGAAAAGAAGATCATATATGTTGGCCGTCCATCACTTCTAACAGAGTACAATCGCTTCATGGGGGGTACTGATTTGTTAGATGAGAATGACTACGTTTATAACGTGCCGTTTCAATGCGATCGGACCGATCCGATGGAAGTGCATCCGCTTGAAATTCGCGTTGTAAACACACGCGATCCATTTTCGATCGGATTCGCCAGGCCAAGGCCAATCCTTTATTTTGGTGGGTTTGAATTCACTCGATCCGATGCAGCGCTCCGATCGGATGTACAGAATGCCGAAAAAGACGTAAAAGACGCGGATTCGAAGTTTGACTAAAAAGAAGAGCGCGCAGACTACGTTAACTTAACCTCAGTTTGGAAATAATAATTAATCACAAAACAAACAACAATTTTTATTTTTCGTTGATGCCGGTTTTAGTTTTGTGTTTTTTTTTGTTGAAATGTCTCAGCCTTCCCACCCCCAGTCGTATGAAGTTTCCCATCCCCAATCAAAGAAAAGAAATATATGGTCCCCAGTAGAAGTTAGAGCTTTTCTCCAATTAATTGGAGTAAAGCATGTTCTAGGATTAATGGATGGAAAACGTATTAGAACTTCGGATATTTTCAAATCCTTAATAGGACCTTTGAATGATATGGGATTTTGCAGGGATGTGAGCCAGTTATTAGTAAAATATAAAAATTTGAAAGGTAAGTCAAATTTACATAAATTTACATTTTTTCAAGTAGGTATGTACATACATAGCTCTACCAATACACATAGTAAAAAGTTGAGGAAATTTTTCTTTCTGTCAGTTGTGCATGTATTTCTCATTCTCAATAAAATCAATTTCGAGATCAATTCTAAAAATTTTTACACTTTGGTTTTTCAAATATTGTATTGATATATCAATTTATTATTTCAGCTGAGTACTACAAATGTAAGAGGCATAATGCCATCAGTGGGAATCAGCCTTACAAATTCGAATACTTTGAAGAACTCGATGCAATATTAGGCTCCAGGCCACAAGCAGAAAGCCTTGGTGATACACCAGCAATTGGATTTGAGAGTTTAGCAGAAAGCGAGCCAGAAAGTGAGTAACTAGAATAATTATGTAACTGCTTGAAACAATAACATCCTGCCTGAGGCATTTTGGTCAGTACAGAAACTATTCTCTATTAACTTTTCCAGTTGCCTATTAGGTACCTCAAGCTGTTCCCAAAAAGATTTCACATATTTTATGTATTTTGATTTTGTCTATGAAAAAAGGTACTTTTCAACAAATATCAACTAAATCAAATATTATTTTAGTCAATAATGAAAATGTGCCCCCAATGGATATCTCGGAGATTGAAATAGTGATGGAAGATTTTGATGACCAGCCAGATATTGATGGGGCAATTCCAGGTTGTTCGAATGAACCTGGAATCAAAAGATTGGTCATACCAACTCTTCCATCATGCAAAGCTTCAACTACCGCTGTTTCTTCCACTCCCTCTGCTTCTTCCACTCCCTCTGCTACTACTACTCCCACTGCTGCTCCCAAAGTCCAATTTAATACTGCTGGTAAGGGGAAAGGGAAGAAGAAAAAGACGACTGAAAAAGCAGACGCTGGTTTAAGTCTTCTGCAAACCATGCTGGAAGAGAATCGGAAAGAAGCAGCGAATGACAGGGAGTTTATGCGGGAGATGATGAGAAGCAGTGATGCAACATTGAAAGAGTGCACCTCGATGTTGGTAAGGGGTCTTTTGGGACGTCGCACTCAGTCAAATTCTGATTCGGACTCATAGTTTATTCAATTTACAGGGTGTCCCAATAGAAACTGACCGATTTTTAATGCTTATAACTTCTAAACCAGGTGTGCTAGCTACCTGCGGTTTGCGCCATTCGGCTTCTCTTGGCCTAAAAATTTTTTTAGTTAATTGCAAATTGAATGGAACAGAAAAAAATCAAATGTTTGTTTAAGTTTTCCAAAAATGACAAGCAACGCAACAAAAGCTATATGTATTTTTATTTTTTAAGGTTGAAACATCAAATTCTATGCCCGATGTTTATTGGTAAATCGATACCTTGTTCACAACTCTTTCTATTCACGTTGGAACGTATGGGGTGTGCCATTAAAAATAGTGGAGAATTTCAATGTTGAAAAACAGCATTTTTTTTCCTCGCTCTATATAAATGTGTAAAATATTTGCATCCAACTGAAAAAAACTTTAGACCAAGAGAAGACGGATGGCGCAAATCGCAGGTAGCTCGCACACCTGGTTCAAAAGTTATAAGCATTTGAAATCGGTCACTTTCTATTAAGACACACCCTGTATTTGCTTTTTTTTCTATAAGTATAATTTTTTTTTTGGGGGAAAATGGGGAAATATTTTTTTTTTTCAATTAAATTATTTTTTTAATTAGAATAAACTTTTTTCCGTTAGAATTTAATTATTTTTTTTTGTGATGTAGAAAGTTCCTTTTTGTTATTTTTTTGGAATGGAGTTCCTTTTTTCAGTGTTCTTTAGGTTAAGTGGATGTTTATATTATTTGTTATATAATTATGTTTACATTATTTCTTCAAGTTTTGTTTGTTTTTTTCTATAAGTATAAGTTTTTTTTTTTGGGGGAAATTTTTTTTTTTCAATTAAATTTTTTTTTTAATTAGAATTCACTTTTTTTTTGTTACAATTTAATTATTTTTTTTTGTGATGTAGAATGTGCCTTTGTGTTATTTTTTCTGAATGAAGTTCCTTTTTTCAGTGTTCTTAAGGTTAAGTGGATGTTTATATTATTTGTTATATAATTATGTTTACATTATTTTTTCAAGTTTTGTTTGTTTTTGTATATTGAATACGTATTTAGTTTTGCTAATAAATAATAATAAACAGCAATTTCCTAGAAACAAATAGTTTTATTCTACATCTCCATATTTCTTAAATATTATGTTGAGATATAAGTAGTGGGAAATTTTCCCTCAAATATTCGGTCAAAAAAATCCTCATATTGTATCCTTCATACTCATTCCTATAATTATTTGCTGGATTAGGTTCATTGAAAATTAAATTCGCATCATTGACTGCTCTAAGCCAGTTTCCATTGAAATCTTCCTTATGTATTTCCAGAATATTGTGGAGAATACAACATGCAGCAATAATATTTGGTGCAAAGGAATAATGCACATCGAGGCGTTTCAGAATACGCCTCCATCTAGCTTTAAGCCGCCCAAAAGCAATTTCAACAACAACTCTTGCAGAGTTTAAATGTACGTTGAACGATTCCTCTTCAGGGGTTAAATTTGGGCCACTGTATCCTTTCAAAAGCCATGGTAACAAGGGGTAGGCTGGATCACCGATTATTATAAATGGGAGATTATTGTCTCCTACATTAACAGTTCCCTAAAATCGATAAATACCTAATTCACTTTCAATTTTCACTATTTTTATTTATGTATTGATAGAAAATTTATCATAGCCCACTGTATTTTTCAAAATATTGTGCATAGTGGTGTTATGATACATTTTACAACAATGCGAAAAATTAACAATCCCTTACCTGTGGAAACACATTACGTATATTCCTATACAGGTTTGAGGACGCCAGAGCTGCAGCGTCATGACTACCTCCAGGCTGTTTTATGGAAATATCTATAAACTTGTAGTTGGCATCCACGACTCCTTGTAGAATAAATGAAGCCCAACCTTTCCTGTTTATAAAATCCCGATATCCTTCTGAAGGGGGTAGAATTGGAATATGGGTCCCATCAATGGCACCAATGATATTAGGAATGTGACTGCGTCTTTCAAACATCTGAGCATTTTCCAATGCCAACTCATTATTTGGGAACTTTAAAAACTGCGGACCCAGAACCTTGGTTATTTTTTCAACCACTTCATAAACTGTCTTGCAGACAGTGGCCTTGTGGATTCCAAATTGATTGCCTACCACCCTGTATTCAGCACAACTAGCTAAATAATATAGACATACCGCCACTTTCTTTCTTACAGAATAGTTATTTGTATACCAAGGCCGCGAAGTGCCTTTTAGCGTACGTAGAGAAAAGTTATCGCCGAGGCCGCTTGCGGCCGAGGCAAGATAATCTCGAGGACGCTAAAAAGTTTCGCGGTCATGGTATACACACTATTTTTTGTGCAACCATGAAAATTATGTGGAATTATAGAAAAAATGTACTCCTTTCAACAAACATGTGGAACTAATTACCAGTTTGATGTATAACCTGGTGGCTATGGTGGCACAGCGTTTCCATGGATGTCATGGATGACATATTTTGCAAGTAAACAAATACACAAAAAATTTTGACGGTTCTCAAAAAATCGTGAAAATATCCGACAGCGATACAGATGTTTCACTCTCTTGCACTCCTCCAGAGCTAAAAAATATGGTTCAATCAGCTATTTCTGAGTTAATACCTGGAAAACTAAGCGGCAATATGAAAATTGTTACTGCGAGTTCAAAAAATTGGTGTGACAAACAAAACGTCAAAATGGTGTCTGAAAGCATATTGGCTAATTTAATGCCGAAATGGGAAGTTTTGAGAGTTCAATTGAAAAACACTGGATTATTAGTTGCTTCAGCTTCAGGAGTAAATATTAGTAATAATGCAAACTGTCATGTAAGTGTTAATATTTATCCTAAATAATTTATGTTGTTCTGAAGAATTTGGAAATAAAATTTACTTATTGTTGTTGTCAAAGTGTCAAATTTTGATTTATAGTTTCGCGGCCGTCACCAAGGGCAACGGCCGCGAAATTGAATTTCGTGGACTGTGTGGCGGCCGCGAAAGCTCATTTTGCGGATGGTTGCACAAAAAGAGCTTTTTTTTGTTTCCAAAAAACATGTAGCCCATGCTCTTTTGGTGCTAAAGCATCTTTAAGTTTTGCGCATATGATGTCAAAGGTGGGAGACGACATCCTAAAATTTTCCAGCCATTCTTCATTGGATAGTTTTCCAGCTTCGATAACATTCTCCCACCAGTCAAAAGATCTTTTCTTTATGGGTCCTCTTGAAGTTCTTTTTTTTTTATTCATCAAATGTTTTATATAGATGGCACTAGAAATTAAATTTAAACAGATTAAAGAAAGGAATGCACAGAAAATACCCGAAATTTTTTACCTTGCAAGTACCAAATTCCTTCTTCTGATTCTGCTATTGAAAATGTACCGTTTTTTTAGCCTCATTCGAAAATTACTTCTCCAATGTGCGATTTGGAAGAAAGCAGAAGAAATCGTTTTTTGTGCACGGTTTTTCATATTATTGAATATTTGATATTCAATAAATTATAATAATTCTTAAATAGCAAAAGAAAATTTATAAGAAAAAACAAAAACACTAAACAAACTGAATTGTGGTTATGTTTTATTTCAGGTAAAGCCAGTGAACTCAACACGTAATTTTATTCATTTGAAGTTCAATGAATAAACTAGAGAGATTATTATCTCTTTTATTTATCTACTTGTCTTTGTCAAATCCTATCCGTTTGAAATTACGGATTCCTCGATTCCTTAAAATAGGATTTAAGGATTTGGTGTTGTAAACAGAATTGACTTGACCTTGGTTCGATCGGATCGGTCCGATCGCATTGAAACGGCACGTTATAAACGTAGTCAATGTTGCCAGATATAGAATCAGTATTAGGCGCAAAATGTGGTGGTGGGCAATTTTCACCTGGCTGTTGGATGTTTCAGTGGTGAATGTTTGGACTATTTACAGGAAGCATGAAGCTATTTCTCAGTTGAACTTCAGAAGACAAATTGTGCAATCATATCTCACTAAATATGGAGTTCCTCCTAAGGGAGCAGGGAAGCCCGCAATATCACGTTCGAGCGTAACTCTGAATAGAATATCAGATGATCTTCGATATGATGGTAGTAACCATTTACTCGTGCCAAATGAAGGCAAGAAAAGGAGAAGATGCGCTGGTGAAGGCTGTTCGTCTAGTATAAGAACTAAATGTCGTAAATGTGAAGTAGGTTTATGCATTGACTGTAACGAAATATTTCACACAAAATAAAAATATTTGTACCCCTTATTCGGCTAGCGTTACCATATGGTAACAGCGATATTCTTTCAATAAAAGCAATTTTCATGGAATTTTTTTTTTATATATTTAATTCGTGTTATTGGTTAGCTAAATAACAGCTATTTTTGGTGAAATTCAAAAGAAAAAATTTCGCCGTTGAAGGGTTAATTCCTATAAGATAGTCGAGGATGCTACAAGGCTTTCTTTGAGGGTTCATGATATATTGAATCTAAAACCGTACCGGCCTGCAGTAACTACGATAGTCTGAGTTTCCAGGTATAGTTTGATTTCACTCCTATCTCTCTGAAAATTCAATAAAACTGGGAGGTGATGTACCAGGCCGGACCTTATAGTCTAAGAGCCAGTGAATTTTTTTTCGTAAAAAGTTGCCGATGGAAAATTTCTTGCCTAAACGATGTAATATTATCCCCCGAGATCGAAATCCATAGTCTGGCAGCATATAGTGGGGAAGTTTAATAATTAATAAGTCATTAAAAAATTCATGAAAATCGAACTATTTGCCGATGGTCAATTTTTGCGGCATATCATTCGAAAATGTTCCCTTAACAAGACTGTAATAATGCCAGACGATTTTCGCGGGTTTAAAGCCTTGCCAGATGCCCCCAGATTGCAAAAAATATATAAAATTTTCGAAATACTTGCCAAAACCTTTTTTTTTTAAATTATGAGAAAAAAATTGTGAATCGAATG